CCAGCAAACACCAAACCTTACCAACAGGAAAGAAGGAATAATTATCTCACGCCTAAGAACCGGTCATACCAAGCTGACACACGAACACAAAATCAAAAAAACTATACCACCCACGTGCACTCATTGCAATAACCATCCACTAACAATAACCCACATACTGCACGAATGCCACACCACAGAAATCCAAAGACAGAAATACGGAATCAACGCAAACATAAACCTGACTTCTCAAAATGACATACAAAGAGTATGAAATTATCTCAAAAACGTAAACTGCTACACACATATCTAATGGCACCGTCGTTGCTAATGACCTCGCTGTCGATGCGACATTAAAGAAAAATAACTGACGAAGAAGAAGAAGATTTTCAATGTACCTGCTACGTATTACAAAATTTATTTGAAATTGTTATGAAAAATTCATTTATCATAAAATTACTACGTGTGTCTTGAAACGCGGTATATTTGGACCTCGCATGCCGTTATTAATAGCGCCGTGTAATTTGTTACGTTTGTTAATTTCGTTTGGATTACGACCGACGTCGTCGCCGACGTCTAATTTCACAGGTTCTTGTCGCGTAACGTCTGCCTACGTTTAGTCCATTATCAGGTTTGTCCGTCGTCCTACGCCTCTAGTAGGGACCGTGTTTTCTAATAATAACAACGTTATTTCGTTACACACTCATTAAGAGAGGATAGCTGTTAGCCAGCGGGGATCTTTATAATAGCGCTGACTAACTGAATTATTTTTTGAAAAGTAGTTCGTTGCTCAGTTGGTGGAACAGTTGGTAATCGTGATTTCTGATCGGAAATTGGTAATCGTCAGTCGATCGGAAATTTTATATCGAGCTCGTGTGTGTCTGTCTGTGTGTCTCTCTGTGTGTGTGGATTAATGGGGGGTTGTAAAGTCAATTGACTGGAAGGTCGAAGAGATTGAGAAAGATTGGCGAATGTAATGACGGCTCGTTGGTTCGTCGTATGTGTAGAAGATGTAATTTCTCCGGTTCTTCCCGAACAAATCGATTTCTTCTTCAACGTGTCGTATCTTTGCACACGTATCGTGACGTTGTTTTACGCCGGGTTTCTCGGCTGTCTGACGCGTTTAATCGTCCTGTGACGTAATCGCTTTGAATTATCACGGTGATCGATCGCCACCACCGACGTCCGATTAGGACTGTCATCGTCGGTAACGAATTTTCGTCGTTGCGAAGGGGTGCGAAAGGAGGCTTTCGCGTCACGTATCGACGGATCGTCGCGCAACGTTTCAGCGAGCGTCTCTCGAAAATGAATTTCATCGGAGAAGCGAATGAGAAAAAGCGACAGTTCCTCCACGCCGCGAATAATAAAAAGATTAGCCGAGAGAAGCCGCGTGGAATAATCGTGTTAAATAGGTCGATCGATCGGAATGTTGCGGTAACGCCGCCAACTTTTCGATTCGTCGTTGTGAAAGCGAGACAGGGGTGAGAAGACCGTTCGTTCTTTCTCCACGTTACGAAGCTCGAATGAAGAGGATGCAAAGTCGAAACTTTCACGTTGAACACGTTGCAGAAACAGCCGACAATTTTTCTTGCGTTAATGTTTCGTTACGTTCGTAACCCGAGGTGAAATTTCAGTAGAGACACTCGGTTCGATTAATTACAGCAACGTTAACACAATTTTTATAA